AGTCACTTTTTCATGGTTTTAGTGGACTTTGGATCATGCCTTAAAACAACAGTGCATACATACTGAGACAGATAGTCACAGGCAAACATACACACAAACATATGTTTACAATATTGTTGATGTATGGCTTTCTTTATAAAAAAACTGTTAACATTGCCAGAATGAGCAGACAAAAGGAGGAACTGTCAGACTCCCAGTGTGGAGCTCTTGCTGGATACCAGTATGAAGCAGAAGTAGAAAAAGTTGTTTCACGCAGAAGGTGCTGCAACTGCTAAACACCTAACAGAAGCAAATCTAACTGGATATATATGGCTAACATGCAAGAGACTGAAAGGGAAAGACAGAGGAATTAGAAAAATATGTGCTTGTGAATAAGCACAAATATCTTTCTCTTGGTTGAAAAGACACTTTTTTTTTTTTTTATATTGGCAATGTAGAATTATTAAACATGAACAACAGCACCTTCATTCTACACTAGTGTGTACTGTTAGCATTTAAATTCACTGTTACTTCCAGGTTTTTCCTTGATGAAGGAAGATTATTCCCCTGTTCCATAATAAAAAATATTAAACATTAGAAACAAATGTGCATTCAAGTTTTATAGTTCTCCAGAAAGATCTTTCTGATTTTAAACAACCTAATTCTGAGACATACTAAGTATACATAGTACCTGAGCTAGATTTTTATTATAGACTGAAATGTTCTGAACAAAAACTAAAAATGAAATACTTATAATGTCTCATAAGCATGTACAGCATGTCTTAAAAAATACCTTTTGGCTAATTATTCAGAACAAACATTACATAGCTAATAAAGGATGTTGTAGTAAGTTTTGTACACTGCTTGCATTTTTGTGTAAGGAAAACTGAACAACAGCATACGAATACAGCCTTAAAGTAATCATTCTTTTTACCCACTCCTCCCTCTGAAATGTATAGAATTAAGATATTGTGTTCTAGGTCCATGAATAAGCACGGCATGTTCAATATGTCCACAGTTATACTGACATTTGTTTCTAAATCATTTAATTAAAAGTCATTATTGAGAACAAAGGATTCATTAACAAGCTGTACATCTGAACAACTGATGGAGTTGTTATGTTATGAATCTCATTTTAATCCAAATTAGAAAACTGCACAGATGTGCTGCTGCAAAATATTGACATACTGCAACTCCCTTGGAAAGTGATTAACATTTGTGTTAAACCAAAAAGTACATTAAAACATGGCTTTACTAATCAATTTAGGATTGGAATAACTCTTCTAATGCTGAAATACAGAATCTAAATTGTTATTATTTTTACCTCCATTTGGGATTACATGCCCTATTAATACAGTTTAACACTATAAGAAACCTCTCTTTTAAAAAATATTTATTTCTGAAAGGAAAAACATGGAGTAGAATAGAAAAGTTATAAACTTTGTATTGACAAACTTTTTGTTCCACGATTTTGCTATGTTTTTGATCATAAGATCAAGCCATGAAGCAAAAGGAAATGTGCAGTCTTTCCAACAAATCAGAACTTCCTAGTTATCTCTGTGTTGCTCTTAACACAAATCTCTGATTTCAATACTTTTTTTCAAAGAGTTTTGAATAGACTATTTTTCATTCTCTATCTCTATTGCACATGCATGTATATATGTGTATAAAAATAAGGTTTTGAGATTAGGAAGATATTTTTTAGACTATATATTTACACTCTAAAGATCTGTATGCGAATGATCTGACAAGAGAAATACATTCAGACTTTGGCACAGATTTAAAAAAAAATAGCTTTCAATATGTGTCTGAGATGCAAATATTTGGAAACCCTTCCCACAAGAAAAACATAGCAGCCTAATAATGATGCCATAAAGTTTTGTAAATAGCTACTTAGACTTGAATTTTTCAGTCTGTGAAGTGATGAATTTTTAAATCTGTGAAGTCAATCCCAAACTGTAATCTCAAACTAGCCCTTTGCCATTAATAGACATCAGAAAATATCGAGTGTTTCTACGGGTATTATTCTCTCAAACACTCTCATCATCATTCCTCCTCACTTTCTAAGTGGAGATTTTTCAATTAAAAATGTAGTGAACAGTACATGATACATAGGTTCTATCCCGTCACTCATTATTTCCTTCCATCACCACAGCATTAAATGCAAAAATAATAAAAATTATGTGCAAAATGGTCACATCAACACCATTTAAAAGACTGAGATAATCAGTTAACAATTCTCCATATATTTACTGTTACTTAATATATTTAACATTTACTTTTGTTTGGACTTGGTTGTTTATTGCATACTCGGTAAAACTTTTACCCTCTTGTGTTTTAGTAAATACATCTGTATGCACAAGAACACTGGAAATAGTGTATAATTTGTTTGTTTGGTTCTTCCCTATCAAAAGAATTTGTTATTACTGTAGCTAAATAAAGTAATATGAATGAAATAAACAGTAAAACAGGAAAAATTAAGAGTAGCACTACAATACCACAGGTGGATAATACAGACTTTACTTAATAAACACTCATTCCACTTAATTTAAAGAGAAAAACGGAATGTTGTTTTCCAGATAATAGTTTCAATGTAATTACTTTAAATTAAAAAAAAAAATATATCCATTATTTTAGGAATATTCAATCTAAATGTGATGTTGAACATACATGTTGCAAAATAATTACAAAGTTGTACAGCTTATCTGAAACAAAAACCCAGCAAGTTTTGTAATGATGCCTGTTTGTTAATGAACCTTTTTATAACTGTAACCATCTTAAACTATCCCTGTTCCCCATCACCTATTTGCAATTCAAGTTTGCAGGAAAAGCTTAAGCAGAAAACTAAAGCCGTCTGCCTTTCTTGTTTTTTTTTATTTTTCACTCAAAAGTCTTAAGGTTTTATTTATACTGCATATTCTTGATAGGAATTTACCAGAAATAATCATATAATAAACTCTGTGATAACATTTTGTGCACTATGGCACTGAAGCATAAGGTATTTCTTTGAGAGAAAACAATCCACATTGTATATAAGCTTACCTTACATTCTAGAACTGCAACTTTATAAATTAGAAATGTGCAAAACAGAAAGCACAGCTGAATTATCAGCTGATTTTCACCTGTACTTAACAGCCAAGCATTTTTAAACTCCCTTTCTAAGGAGAAGTGCACAAAAGACACACTCGGACAGCGAACATTTACACTACCTGTATTTTACAGATTACCTTTCAGGATAAAATACTGCATGGAGTGAAAGTATTGATTTTCTTTTCCCTTTGGAAGCAATGCCAGCGTACTGAAAGGTATCTTTAGAGAAACTTAAATTAAACTTGAGATATGCTCCTTGTAAAAAACAACCCTTTGTACATGCAATATTTAGGAAATCTGCTACTCAAACATTTCATAGTGCCTATGTCTAAACATCTATCAGCTACTTTAACAGCTCTTTTCAACAACGTACACACAATAAAAAAGTCTGATTAAAGATCTAAACATGAATCTAAATAGAATACTATGCAGTATAACTCCCAGAAAAAAAAAAAAAAAGTTCACAAACCAGCTTTTTATCATCTACCATTCTCCTCTGTTCTTTTTAAAGTTACATGAATGTTCACACTGCAGCATTTCAACAAGTACCAAAGACAGAAAAAGTCTCCTCCCCGTATTCAAAAAGTACAGAAACAATTACAAGTAGCAAACATAATTTAAATTAAATACTCCCTTCAGGTATGACACCCTCACTGAAGGCACGTATCAACATCCACCTTTGGAAGGATAACGAAGTTCTTGCAAAGCAGTGTAGAAAGGCAGTTACAGTCAGAAAGCTGCCTTCTGTCCAGGCACTGGGACATGCTATCCACTGGTGCTTCCCAGACCCACCGCCCAAGAATAAAGTGCCTTATTGTCTCAGCACTGTACTAATTGTGAAAAAACAGTCCATGCAGTAACCATAATAACTATCCAGACAAATAAGCAAAGGCAATCAATAAAGGAATGAAAAGGGTAAAAATACACAACTAGAAAAAGCAACCCAAGAATGAAATTAATATTCATAATGGAATGCTAGCCAGAAGAAGGTCCCTTTCATGGCATGGCTGTTGCATACAAGAGACCATTGTCCACACGCAACAAGATCAGTATATAGAGAAAACTTCATGTAGCTCTGATGAGGAAAAAAGCTTTTCATTCCCGAAACACTTGCTCCCGGCCCCACTGTTTTCATTAAATAAAGTTTTGGGCTCCTTTGCCCAGCAACATTAAAAAATCTCTCAGGGCCCACCCTTCCCTGAGCTCTGTAAGGTTCTATTTTTTCTACCTCATTTGCAGCTGTATAAATATGAACAAAAAAGCCATGCTTTTCCAAACAAAGAAAAAATGGGCTGAATATGCATATCCTCATTAACTAAATTTAATTATGACAAGCGGCATATTAATCAGTAGTTGCTCCAGTTACTGCATTCATTGGAAGGGAGGACTCCTCCAAATTAAGGGGAAGCATGGGGGACAATCACATACTGATTAGGAGGCTGCTACATGATACAATACACTTTCTAAATAATCATTCAGAGGAAACAAAATAAAGAGGCAAATTGCTCTATTTTTAAGACCAACTCAGGAACAATTAGCCAAGAGCATGATGACAAGGCTGCTTTCTTTTTTCCTGCTTCCACCTCCACATTCTCACACCAACTAGTTTGGCAAGCACTGCAAAATTTGCATTCCACAGGAAAGAAAAAAAAATAAAAAAAGAGAGAGAGGAAGAAGAAGGAAAAGGAGAAAGAAAAATCCCATGCTGTCCTTGCTGCTGTTTTAAAAAGAAGGCCCATACCACTACAACAGCAGAGAAACCCTATCTACCTCCTGTGATGTTTAGCAGCTCTGCAGAGTTACTGAGCTGGAGCTGGAAACTTTGCACACTCTGAACTTTGCAGCATGTGCACTGCAAGTGAAGGAGGAGTTCAGAAAGGAAAAAAAAAGCTTCCAGAGAGGGGAAAAAAAAAGTTATCACACTAACTTACCATCCACCAGGTCCTGGCTGACATGTCATAGCATAGCTGCCATTTTATGGAGCTGTCTGATGCTTTCCCTGCCATTACGCTGTCAGCAACCTTCATCAGATGCAGCTCAATGGAAGATAAGACACCTAATCAAGAAAACATCAGCAGTGGCTTGCTGGACTACATGTAGGCCAATCCTTATCACACTGCATCATGGGAAAAGCTCCTTTATTAGCAAGAACTCCAACCTCACTGATATAAAGACAAGGATCAGGTTTTTTTCCTTGGAGTTTTTTTTTTGTGTGTGTGTGTGAAGGGATTGGTGAAACTAGCCAGCGTTCTTTGTGTATCATGTGTACACCAGTTTAGTATCTCACAAGTGGGCGGCTAGCTGCTTTGCTGGGCTATGCAGACTTAAGTTTATTTGCATTCTTCTTTGTTGTATATTGTTCGACGTGGTTCGTGGTCAGCTCCAAGCGTAAGAAAGGAGGGGAAAGAAAATGCTCTGAATTAGTATCTCCCCCAAGGAGGACAGACCAGTTTTGTGGACACGGGGGGGCCTGGTTCAGATGTCACGAGTGCCCGTGCACACACACCTACACGTTCTCACACGCGCACACACGGGTGCACAGGCGGGCGCCCCGAAGAACACACAGGTAGCTGCAGCTGGGTGCAGCAGGGGTTGCCAAAGGCTACAAACTCTGTTCTTACACTGGACATATGGAAACAGTTTAACTCTTTGCAATCAGCCTTTAACAAGGAATAGGAAGGCTGGTAAATCAACACAGAAAGAGTGGGGAGGGGATGCGGTTAGGATTTCAGTGTCACAGATTTTTTCCCCCCTCCCCTCCCATGGATACTCATGATCTCTGCTCTGGATGATCTAGCTGGGAAGGGGGAGGAGAGGGAGTGGGGAATTATTTCAATCACGGCTCCCTCCTGCTCCACAGCTTCGGGTCATCTGCCTGTTGTACCTTCCGCCAGCAGGGAGAGAAGGCATTCTTCCTGAAAGGCTTTCCATGCAAGGTTTTTTTCCCTAATGGAAAATCTGATTCCCTGAAGGGAGATCTGGCTTAGAAGAACAAATAATTCTGACTTAATTTTAAGCTGCAGAAAAGGAAAAGCATATATATGAACACAGAGGAAATCAATAAACCCTGGCTGCCATTAGAGGAGATATACAGAAAGAATAGGATTTGCTACTCCTGGCTGAGGCGATCAACACCAGTTTTGCTGCTACATTGCATATCTATATATGATTTAGCTACAAGTCCCTCTGTAGCAAAAAAAAAGCCCCACATTTCAGAAACTGTCTCTTTAAAATTATCACATTGCAATAATAACTTTAAGCAAGCAAGTATATCACATGCTTAGCATCTCTCTTCTGATCATGTTTTCGGTTTACAATCTTCCACATTTTGCCCTGTACTGTGTACTTGAAAAGTCTTTTCGTCAACAGGCTCCCCACACCTATTTGCAATGAGCCGTAAGTAAGAATCCAGGACTACTGCCATAGGGCACACACAGCCCCCAGCATTGCTGCATCTCTTTACCATCACTCATGTAGCTGAGAGCCACCATAGCCACTGCCACAACAGTGCAACACTCCCACTGATGAATGGGGGTACCCATGCACGCACCCCATTGCTGTGGGATGAGGTGCAGGTTTATCTGGCATGGACCTACTGCCTTCAGCTAACTGTCAGAGCTGTCATCCACGGCCCATTTAATTAGGTCCTGAAATAGCGGCAGCACCTAAAGAAATGACTCTCTGAGCAAGTACAGAGCTCTGGCAACAGAACAGCTCTGTAGCAACATCAGGTGCACCAAAAAATTAAAACTGTTTTCCCTCCTCCACACGTGCCATTGAGGTCAGCTTGATGCCTTAGTTTCTTGTTTTAAATATACTGATGAGGCCAACATCAAAAAACCCAGACATAGAATTAATGGAGATTCTAGACATCCCAGTTCCCTAAATGTATATAACTCTTTTTCTAGAAGAACTCTGTACAATAGAAGAGGCTGTTTCCTTCTTTTTCACTTCAGCTAGGTCACAATGATAAATAGGAACCCAAGAAAATTTGGATTATTGAGAGGTCTGCCTATGGTCAGGTGCTGTGTGATGGCTCAGCACACTTACGGTGCATAGGAGGCATTAACTCATTCTGGCTCACTCTCCACACCCTGGTCAAACAGCCTGGCCTTGTGATAAACATTGTAAGGTACGAAGAGCACCAACAGCAGTTTTATCCCGTTGTCAGTAGGCGGTGTACAATCATGTCCTAAATGGTCCCAGCCTGGATCTCTCCCACAGCCTTCACTAACTGGCTCATCATCACTGTGGGACTGCACACAGCAGTCAACTCCAAGTGTGAGATAAATCTCAGACAAGAATGCTACTACTTGTTTACACACATAATCCCTAACCTCACCTAACAAACATAATTATCAGTGGAAGGAAACCTGGAACTAATGTGAAGAGATGGATTTTCTGCAGTTTCCCACCTACTGAATTCTGATCACAGGTGAAGAGACCAACTGATACAGCCACTAACCTGCCTTACTAGGACAATTCACAAATCCCCATCAGCACTGCAACAGCTGGGAGTGGGAGACCACACTTCAGGTAATCATGAGCCAGTTCACTATACTTAAAGGAGAGTAAAAGTTTTATCACGCTATAGCTAGCTGAGAGACCTCAGGCTGCTCTCAGATGCCCAGCCCACAGCAAATCCAGTTTTGCAGGATGGTCTTCTACCAAGCCCCCTGAGACCAGTGGAGCTGCTCAATCCTGGAGGAAGACTGCTCCCAAAGCTTCAGGAAGACTACACATCTCCTGCAGGCACAAACACCACATGGATATTTGCTTTTGTGCAGTCAGGAAAGACAGAGTTAACGATAAGCCTCCCTTCTGTTGCCTTCCTGCATTAGCTGAGGGCAGAAGAGGAATTTCTGGCACCTAGAAAAACAATGCCCGCAGCACTGGTCAGTGTATGCTTCCCATACACGTGCATCTCCCATGCCTTCTCCTGCCTGCTGGGAGGTCTGCCTTTCTCCCAGTCATGTCTGTTTTGCAGATGGGATTTTTAAAATACTGTAATATGTAGGAAGAGATCTCATTTCCTATGCTGCCTGAAGATACAGTCATACACAACACAGGGACAAATATGTAATTGGGCAAAATTTTTCAGATTATTTTTTTTTCCTTTCAGGAAAAGACAGGTTTATGAGGAAAGCATATGGTATTGCTTGTTACATAATAGCAATGAAGTTTAAGGTTATTCAGACTTCCATTTCGGTAGAAGGGTGGGGTTTTCTTAACTGGGGTAATTTACATTTTTCAAGTGAGCTGGATTTTTCAGGTTAATCTGACTAAGCATCTTTTTTGGCTAAGCATCTTTTTCCACACTTTCAAAGGAACAAAAAAAGATAATCAAAATATAAAACTTGGTAGAACAAAAATCTGGTTCTTATTTAAGTGAAATAAGATGCAAGCAAGTTCATGCATTTCTGGATACCCGTCTTCTTAACACATCAAGAAAATAATGGCCAGCCTGACTTTTCCCCAAGGGTTTGGTTTTTATGACCTTTGTCTTCTCCAGTCTGGCTCAGCTTTTGATTCTAGTCAAGGAGACATTCCCATTTCACATCCAGGAGGGAGCTAACGAAGACCACTGCTTATAATGATCCTCAGGAGTCAATTAGTTTCTTTTCATAAGGTCCCAACCCCTACTAATAGAACGGGTCAAACAAAGAACTCACAGTATGCTGCTCTGGAGGATACGCAGTGCTGGCATAGAAAGACCCAAACTAGTACTGTAGATTTAAGTAGAGAGAACAAGGTGAATATTCAGATTTTGGGATGATCTTGAAATTTTTATTTTTTTTTTTTAATCTGCTACTAGAAATGTCCTCAACTGTCTTTGGAAATTAAAAAACCCCAGTGATTCTGAAAACCTCTTCTTGTTATTTTAAGTCTAGAGGAGCATTTTCTTCACTGGTGGATAGAGACAGTCTAGCATCCTGAGACTACCCATGATATGTGGAAGCCCTTCCAGTGCTGGCAGTTCCCTTTCCACAATAGTCAATAGACCTGTGGGCAGACACAGATCACAGCTTATATTTCCTTGGAAACTTTTGATTAACCCAGCCATTATTGGAGCCAAACCATTGACGTTAATAGCAGACAGCTAACCACAGATCACGTTCACCTGCTGCCTCCATTAGTTCTCACACACACACACACACACACACACCCCCCCATGCACACTTGCACACACTCATTGCTGCTGGGCTGAAGCTGGGAGACCAGCCCCAGCTGTTTACTCAGACACGGGATGTTGCACTGATGCGCTAGAGGCTTTTAGGTAGGTGTTTGGAAATCCCCTCCAGTGCTCCCTTGTTTCACCAGGTGCACATACAGTCCTGCCTCAGCCCTTCATGGGAACCTGGAACAATTGCTGGTCTCCACAATCTAACAGCTCTTGGGAGACTTTTACATGCTGCTTCTCAGCATGTACTTTTCCCATTTCCTTTCCATTTCCTGGTAAATATTTTCTGTCCGTAGTCATTGGCATCTACAGAACCCACTCACATAAACTCACACAGAGAGGTCCTTTATGACATCAAGATTTTTCATTTCTATTAAGGGAATAGTACATGGCTACAGAAGCCTGACCATCCACTGCTTTCAACTGAAAAAGTCCTCTGGAAAATACAATTCTGATGATTTCTTCATAATGTGGCAGTGGTAGTAGTGGTGGTGAATAACTGCTATTAACTTTGCTTAGCCTTTCTATTTTTTCCCATTTGATGTCAGTAGAGAAACAAATAAGGCTTTTTTTAAAAAAAAAAAAAATCAAACCATGTCAACATTTGTCCAAGAAACATTTTTGCTGATTGCTGGAGTGATGAAAGCTGGTATTCTTACCAGGTCCCTCACTGGGCATTTCATAACCAGACATTTAGCACTTTCTTGTGGGCAGACATACCTCCTCTCTTCTGGAGCTCCAGGGTGCCCAGGAGGTGGCAGGGTATACCTGCAGGAATGTGTAGAGGTCCATAGAAGTCACAAACAGTCCTGGCTAAGAGGAGCCACCACCAGTAGCAGCAGCTTCACTGAAAGTAATAAGGCTGACACAGCGGCTGACTGCTAGTGTCTTTCCAACGTCCTGCCTTTTGCTCCCATCATAAGTGCAT